TTTTTTCGACTTTTCGACTTTTTTGACTTTTCTACTTTTTCCGACTTTTTTCGACTTTTCGACTTTTTCCGACTTTTCGATTTTTTACGACTTTTTGACTATTTTCGACTTTTTTTCGACTTTTTTCGACTATTTTTTTTACTTTTTTCGAGTTTTTCCAACTATTTTAGAGTTTTTGACCTCTTTTCTACTTTTTTAAAATTTTCGACTATTTTCGACTTTTCGACTTTTTCCGACTTTTCGACTTTTTTCGACTTATCGACTTTTTTCGACTTTTCGACTTTTTTCGACTTTCCGACTTTTTTCGACTTTTATTTACAAAGTCGACTTTTCGACTTTTTCATAGACGATAGTCGAGTTATCGACTTTTTTGGAACAAAATAGTCGACTTCGACTTTTCGACTTTTTTCGACAAAAAGTCGATTGTTCGATTATTCGAAAGTCGATTTATAGAACCCTAGTTTGTAGCAAACACGATGTACGAAAAATACATTGCTGTTTGACAAACCAAAGTTTCCTAGGTCGTCAAACCAATGTATTTAAATGGGACATCAAACAAAATCTGTTTGAAGGAAAAATTCTGCAATTTTTTCGCGCCAATTTTTGCAAATTCTTTATTTGATTTTCTGCCATTATTTTACACACATTTTGAGTTTGTAACAAACGTAGGTGTTCAGTTTGGAAATTGTTTGAATTTTTTTCAAAAGTTATAAAATATATATAATTTTGGTTTTGGAAATAACATAATTGTTTATTGAAAAAGTATTTAAGTGTAAATACTAAAAATATTGATTGATTTGGCCTGTTTGTGAGATCTAGAAGATTAAAAAAATGTAAGTAATGATGCTAATTAATTATTTATTTGTCTCTAAAGAACGTCTTTCTTTTTAAGAAAGAGGAGGCATCATGATGGTCTCCTGGAAGAATGACCACAAGAGAGTGGCAATTGTATACCTCCCTAGTCACCTAGGCGGGTGGTGGTCGGTCGGCTAGTGGTGACATGGTATATTATCACCTAGAGGCAATGGACGGACGCTAATTGCCGTATCCAGAGGTTACCACAAGGATACATACTTATTATTATATCATTGATGTCAGCAGAATCACTACCATATACCCATAATAGAGCGTGATGTCTATCTAGTGTGTTCAGTGAAGCTCTTGTTGTCTCCAAACACTATGGTGGCCGAATATTTACAAGAAACAATTGTTAAGCCGCCTTTTATACAAATAAAAGAGAATGTCTTCATGGACCTAGAGGATATAACCTGGGCCAGGTTACCTGGCTAGCTTGTCGTCTTATATACATATGTATGTCGATATTGTTTGGGGCATTGTGGGCTTTATGTCGACTTTAGATCCCTTATAGTTGTCACACTATACCAAATAAGCATTCTTGCTGGAATTAATGTTTAAAACAAGTTTAATTCCAGTCAAACATTCAAATTTCAAGTGTTGAAATACACTTTCATTACACTTTAATTCAATAGCATTCTCCAGTGAAAACGAAACTTGAATTCAAGTCGAACATTATAATGTTCTTACAGTATAATTCAATGCACGAAATCTATATACATACGTATATAAAATTCTAACGTTACTGACTGATTCATCATCGTAGAGCCTAAACGGTTGAAGCTAAATAGCTGAAATTTGGGCAGGAGGTTGGTCTCCCACCAAATGTATCTAATAATTTTTGGAAATTCGAATTTTTTGGGGTTAAAAAAAGGTAAAAACGTAAATTCGGTAACCTCAAATCTCCTAAACTAGAAAAGTTACAAAAACAGTTAAAGCTTATCGTCGTTTTGGGGAATAAACGGGTAAAAACTGTAATTTGGTACTTCTTTTGCACCCCATGTATCTTTTAAACCAGAGAACATTAAAAAATAATTTTTGAATCCTTCATAACTTGACGAACAAATAAAAATATGAATTTAGTACTTTTTGGATATTCGGACGTTTAAGGGGTGAAAATTGTACCTATTTTTGGTACTTTTTTATAAAACATTGTTTTTGGTTTATTAACTTATACATATGAATACATAATAACGGGCTCCCAATACGATGTTGCAACTTTTTGGAACAGAATTTTTATTTAGTTAATGAGGAGGAAAAAAGTACCAAAAGGGGTAAAAACGGGAAATTTGATTTTATTCAAGAAACACTAAATATGCTAATGGGGTGTTATTTGGAACACCGGTACCAAGTGATATTTTTTGATACTTTTTCATTCTCCAACTGGTACTTTTTGAGTTTTCTATGATATTGAAATCGAAACATGAAATTAATAATTAAGGGACTTTTCGGAACTTTTTCGTTCTACAAAGGTATTTTTTGAGTTTTCTATAAAATTTAACCTAGAAACATGAAATTAAGCAAGTAGAGTCTGGAGTAAATGAGAATCTATAAAATGGGACTTATTGGTACTTTATCGTACTTCGACTGGTACTTTTTTGACTTAGAACTTAGAAACATGTAATTAAGCACTTGAGAATCTATAAAAGTGGACTTTTTGGTACTTTTCGTTCTTCAAAAGGAACTTTTTGAATTTTCTATTAAATTGAACATAGAAACATGAAATTATGCATGTATAGCCCGAAGTAAATGAGAATCTATAAAATGGCACTTTTTGGTAATTTTTCGTTCTTTGACTGGTACTTTTTGAGCTTGCTACAAAATTTGAACCTCGAAAAATTAAATTAAGCACTTAGAGCCTGGAGTAAATGAGAATCTATAAAAGGGGAACTATATCGTACTTTGACTGGTACTTTTTGAGTTTTCCATAAAATTAAACCTAGAAACATAAAAATAAATATCTAGAGCCCGGAGTAAATTATAATCTATAAAAGGAGACTTTTTGGTACTTTTTCGTTCTTCGACTGGTACTTTTTGAATTTTTTATAATATTGAACCTAGAAACATGAAATTAGGAATGTACAGCCCGGATTAAGTGATAACATATAAAAGGGGACTTTTTGGTACTTTTTCGTTCTTCGACTGGTACTTTTTGAATTTTCTATAATATTGAACCTATAGACATGAAATTAAACCTGTAGGGCATGGAGTAAGTGAGAACATATAAAACGGGACTTTTTGGTACTTTTTCGTTCTTCAACTGGAACTATTTGAATTTTCTATTATAATGAACCTAAAAACATAAAACTAAGCATTCAGGGACTTGAGTGAATGAAAATTTAAACTGGAGTATTTCTGCTAATTTTTCGTTCTTTAACTGGTACTTTTTGAATTTTCTAAAATATTGAATATATAAACATAAAATTAAACACGCAGTATCCTAATTGAACGAAAATTTATCTCGCTTACGTCCATTTTGCAAAAAGGGCTCGATATCAATCGAAATCTCTATAGGCCATAATTGACCCTGCCCCCTTCAATAATTGATTTTAACGTTTTCTACGTACTTATAATAATAATACCATAATAAAACAATTTTTGTTGGAACGAAAATATGTAATGTAAATATGTATATGAAATCATCTTCAGAAAATGACTTAAACGCACATAAATGGCTTTCAAATGTCGATGTCGACGAAAAAAACATTTTTAGGAACCGAAACCTACATTTATGAAAAATAAAATTATGAGGATCGGTCCGCCAATATAACCCTCTTACAGAAAATCAGTTTATAGCTAATACATCATTCCAAAAGTTATCATTATGATAGAATTATGGTAGAATTAAAAAAAATACTTTAAATTATAGAGAACTTTGTCCATAATTGACCCATATGGTCAATTGACCCATATGGTCAGTCCCTAATCCGAAAATTACGGTGACGTTCTTATTATTCTAATGATCAAAGTCCATATACATATATGTATATGACCACTTCCGAAATTTGTTTTTTTACGACATATGATTTGCCGAATATAACTCTTACTTCTTACTTATTTTAATCATAAAGAAATTACCGCTAAAATAGGAATAGTTTGCCTTTAGAGTTGCGAGTTTTCATACACTCTAATAATGTTTTCAGAGTGAAACTTTTGGAATATTTTTCAATCTCTTTGTGATCCCTTTAAATGATGTTGTTCTGGAAGAACTTTAACATCCATGTAAACATTTTAGGTAATAAATTGGGGGACTACCAATGAGGGGAGCGGAACCTCTCATATGAATTAAATACAAAAATTCGTTTATCTGGGAAACTAATAGAACTAAATTCTTCAAATTTTGCACGAAGAACTTTAATATTCATCTGAACATTTTGGAGAAAAAAGGGCGGACTTTCATCTGGGGGGCTTAGAGCTCCCATATGAATTAAATATTAGAGCTAGAATCTTCAAATTTTACTGAAGAACATTTAGAGAATACGGGCGGACTTTCAATGGGGGCTTGGCACTTCCCATATGAACTAAATATAAAATTTTGTATATCTGGGAAACTATTAGATTATTCAAATTTTTCATAGATTAAATTAAAATCTTAATTAACGTTCGGAATAATTGGCGAAATTGCAATAATTTGCGTGGAATCTCCCATATCTAACAAATTGTATATCTGGAAAACCATTGTAGTTAGAATCATCAAAATCGTTAAGGGTTTCTTATTTATATTGCTTTTAGGGTAGCACAGCACACTGGGTATATAGCTAGTAAATAAACAAATAAAATATCTTTTTAAATTTTTTAGAAACTGATTTTCTGCAAGATGTTTTATATGGAGGATAGGGTTAAATATCGGCAGATCCTCGTAAAACTTGAAGAAGGATTTGTTTTTAATTTTTAAGATTTTTTTTCATCCCTGCATAATTTCTCACACAACTTTTTAGCTTGCTCTGTTTTGTTGTTATAAACAATATATTTGCTTCCAAAATCCCACTTTCTGATCTCTCGGATTCCGTTTTTATTTAAAACCGTTGAAAATTTTAAAAACACAACTGAATACTTAGCCGGCTTACAGCCGTTTTTAAGCCGCCGCCAAAAATTTTAGTGCCAGGCGCCGTCGTTAATGTTTGTCGCAGCAGGGTTCAGTCAGTTGGAGTCATTTTGCGAGTGAGGTTCGTGTGTTTTTGCGTATTTTTCTTATTGTTATTGCATCTCGTATGTGTGTATTCTCTTGTTTAAATTCGATTTTAGCCTTGTGCAGTTTTTTATTAACAAACAATCAACAAATATAAATAAACTATTTAACTTTTTTTGTGCGGTGTGTAAATAAACCAAAGTAAGAATAAATAATTTCTTAAAGAAGAAGTTGCAAAAATTCATAAAACAAACACTGGCATTGACTGTTAAAATTGAAAAAGAACAAACAACAAGAACAGCAAAAGAATTTTAACCAATATGTTTGTATAAATGTGTGTGCAACGAGTAGAGTGGTGGTGGTAGAAGAAACAAAACAAAAAATATTGCAAAAAAGAATTCTTATAGAGCAAAAAAAAAATTGTTAAAACAGCAAGTGCAAGTGTAAAGAAATAATAAATAAATTGCAATAAAAACAAAAACATGTTAAAAATACAAAAAAAAACTCCAATATTGTTTTCCTGTAGTGAAGAGAAATAAAAACAAACTAAAAAAAATAACTGTAATCACGTTGTGCTTTTTTTTGTTTATTTTTAATTATAAATTTTATAAATAGCAATACGGGAAACAATAAAAATAAAAAAACAAACAATTAAACTGCCAACAACAATTTCAATAACACACATATTGTGCTTTTTGTTGTGTTCTAACAATTTTTTTAAGCAACAATTAAAACAAAAACTATTGAAAAACGTTTTTCTCCTTTTAATTATGATGTGGTTATTTGTGTTGCTTTGTGGTTGTTGTTGTTCTTATTGTTGTTTAGACGTTGACAACAAGCACCCAAGAACTGTAACAACAACAAAAGAATTGCTAACCAATGAAAGATTTTTTCTTTTTGTTCTTTTTCAACGAAGATTTTTAGGGTTTTTTTAATTGTCAGGGTTAGGAAATCAACTAAAATACCAAATGTTTGCAAAAATTTAGATATTTAAAATGGATTGAATTTCTCTAACTTCTTAACCATTGTTCCGAATCAACAGACTAATAAATGCTTTCATCTCGTTCAGACTATAGTGAAAACCAATAGGAAAACTACATTTTGTTAAAGTTTGTAAACAAAAATATCATTGTCCAAAAAAGTTTAACCCAAAGGGCAGAGTATGATTTTATAAAGAAATTTTACCTCGTGAGCGGCAAACTTCATATCAGGGTTTTGAGATATTTTAGTCTCAAGTTTAATGCCATATGCTTGGCATTATAAAAGCGTGACATCAATCTAAAAGTCGAATACCAGAAACTTAAGTACCTATACATTTATAAAGGAATAAGCAGAGCTAATTCCGATTCTGGCCTCATAATTTATCCATTTTCAAATTATCATGTCTTAAAGATTGAAAAGTCCCGAAAACTTTTTTATTTTAATAAATTTGTTATATCGTCTGAAAGTTCAGTCTATCAACTTTAAAATATCTTCTTACTTCGAGATATCTTAACTCCAAAAAAATATATGTATATTGCCTGCGTTAAACGGCAGAAATTTTCAACGGCCGATAACTCAGTAAATACAATAGATTTTTAAAAAATACAAAAAGTATTTTTATGGGAAAAATTATGAAACTGTGACATACAAGATTTTTGTCAAATAAAGACGAATTGTTGTTAAACATTTACTTTTTGCTAATTTATGGTAGTTACATATTTTAGGTAAAATATCTCGAAGAAGAAAGAAGATATTACTGAAATTAATATTTTATTTTGAAGTTGACAGCTTGGACTTTTAGAGGGCACAATAAAAAGACAACGATGTCTTGTCTTTGTGCTATAACAAAGTCTTAAAAATTACGAAAAATGGGTTTTCTTTATGTGATGGAGAATTATGTGGCCAGATTGGTATTGTTGTTGTTGTAGCAGTTGACAATCCTTGGTCGTTGTTCGTTGAACTCCGAGTCAATCCGGTGCGAAGAATCGAATGACGTGGGAACGTTTTGCCAGATGGGGATTCAGTGATTCTGGTTTATGAGTAAAAACCTAAATTCAAAGCTCATTTTTATCATTTAACAGGAATTTAACATTCCCAAGGAATTAAATCAAATCCTTTTTAATGGAATTTCATTGAATAAAATTTCAGGGCAAGCGTTTAAGAAATTTACAATACTTTAAACGCTAATTAACACAGTGAAAAGTGAATTATTTCATCCGAAATTTTCGATTAAACATATTAAACAAAATACCTAATAGAGTAAATTATACTCTATTATTTTGAGATATTTCTTTGCATCATACTTCAATCTATTATTTGTTTTATTGATGATTGATTTTCTAACCCTGATACTTTCATGCTAGAGAGATTTTTTCTTATTTTATATTAAACTAAATGAAGGACCAATTCTTATATGAAACTGAACTGTTAGACATTTTCCAATAGGAATTTTTAAAAATTAGCCTTATTTCTGATAAGAATTCTACCGTCTGTACTCAAAGTCATAAAAAATAGTAATTCTTAAACAACTTTTTCAACCTTTTTTATGTATATTTTTAAACAATCATATTTACAATTACGAATACATACATAATTTATGCATTATTTAACAAGTTTTACTTTTATTGATTATTGTTGTTAGTTTAATTAAAGAAAAATATTCAAAATATATTCAATAGAATAATCAGCAAATAAAATAAAACAAAGGAAAAACAAGTAGAACATTATCAGCAACAAATAAATGAACAAAATTTAAATAACAAATTACAATAAACTTTAAGTTACAATAAAATACAAATAAAGCAGCAAATACAAATTATTTTCACAAGCATTAAAAAAATGTATTATCGTTAAAACTACAACTACAGTTTTTTAAAAGTGAGCAGCAAAATAAGGGTAAGTTAATGAATATGTTAAAAAACAACAAAAAAGTGAATTTAAAATTCAAATGTTTTCTATCTTGAACAGGGTGGTAACGTAAGCAACACAAGTAAATGTTAATTTTCAAAAGTTTCCCTTTTTACCTACAAGTTTTTTTCTTCATCTTAATTATTCCATTTTTATTTTAATTTTCCCTTTTCACGTTTGTTTTTGTTTTCTTCCTTAAATCGACTTCCTTTTATGCTGCTTCCTTTTGTGTGTATACAGCAACCAGTGTTGCCAGTTTGTTATTTTATATGCTTAGCAACATCCTTGTTGTTAATACATATTACCATTTAAAACATTTGTTTTTGTTGTTACCACATTTGCTGTTATTGTTGATGATGATGTTAATATTGACGATAATGAAGTTTATGTTGCCTAATCATTTAGTAGTGAGTGTAACCTTATCGATTATTCACAGTTATTTCCTTAACCGGCATTTTATTCCATCATCTCTTTGTTTACATTTCTGTAACTCTCCCTCCAGCTCCCTTTCCTGTGATTTTGTACTATATAAGAGAATGCTATTTTATATTGTGTTGCGTTTATAGGCGTATTTGTAGGTATTTGAATTTTATTTGTTAATAGATGTCATAGGCCAGATATTAAAATAAATTGATTATTTTTTGTTGTAAGTTAACGACATTTTTTGCATTTAAATTTTGTTTGTCTTTAATTTATTATTGTTATTTTTTTATATTGTTTTACACCAAAATTTGTGTTTATTTTATCGATTTATACTCATACCAATTTATTTATTATTAATTGTTTATTTTTTGCAAAAAAATAGGTATACTAAATACAGGCAACCATTGTTTATAATAAATAAACAATTGTTCGTTCTTTAAAGGAAGATGAGAGTTAAGTTATTGAATTTGTTCAATATTCAAATTTATTTTCTAGGAAATTTGTATATTTCTTTGAAACTATGTGATGATAAAATTGAACTTGAAGCGTTTTTTGCGTGCTTTTGAAATTGTAATATTCGATGTGGGGTTGCCAATTGTACCTATACCCTTTACACCTTGATCAAAATAGCTATTTATTTCAAAACATTGAAATCAATCAAGATTTTGAAAAGTTCAGAGTTTCGCAATTATTAATGAAAAATAAAAATATGTCGATACCTTTATCAACATTTTGAAACACATTTTGGTAAAATAGCAGGACTATTTCGTATATACTCTAGTCTATATTCTAGTCTGTAGTCTAGTCTATAGTCTAGTCTATAGTCTAGTCTAGTCTATAGTCTAGTCTATAGTCTAGTCTATAGTCTAGTCTAGTCTATAGTCTAGTCTATAGTCTAGTCTATAGTCTAGTCTATAGTCTAGTCTATAGTCTAGTCTATAGTCTAGTCTATAGTCTAGTCTATAGTCTAGTCTATAGTCTAGTCTATAGTCTAGTCTATAGTCTAGTCTATAGTCTAGTCTATAGTCTAGTCTATAGTCTAGTCTATAGTCTAGTCTATAGTCTAGTCTATAGTCTAGTCTATAGTCTAGTCTATAGTCTAGTCTATAGTCTAGTCTAGTCTAGTCTATTAGTCTATAGTCTAGTCTATAGTCTAGTCTATAGTCTAGTCTATAGTCTAGTCTATAGTCTAGTCTATAGTCTAGTCTATAGTCTAGTCTATAGTCTAGTCTATAGTCTAGTCTATAGTCTAGTCTATAGTCTAGTCTATAGTCTAGTCTAGTCTATAGTCTAGTCTATAGTCTAGTCTATAGTCTAGTCTATAGTCTAGTCTATAGTCTAGTCTATAGTCTAGTCTATAGTCTAGTCTATAGTCTAGTCTATAGTCTAGTCTATAGTCTAGTCTATAGTCTAGTCTATAGTCTAGTCTATAGTCTAGTCTATAGTCTAGTCTAGTCTAGTCTATAGTCTAGTCTATAGTCTAGTCTATAGTCTAGTCTATAGTCTAGTCTAGTCTATAGTCTAGTCTATAGTCTAGTCTATAGTCTAGTCTATAGTCTAGTCTATAGTCTAGTCTATAGTCTAGTCTATAGTCTAGTCTATAGTCTAGTCTATAGTCTAGTCTATAGTCTAGTCTATAGTCTAGTCTATAGTCTAGTCTATAGTCTAGTCTATAGTCTAGTCTATAGTCTAGTCTATAGTCTAGTCTATAGTCTAGTCTATAGTCTAGTCTATAGTCTAGTCTATAGTCTAGTCTATAGTCTAGTCTATAGTCTAGTCTATAGTCTAGTCTATAGTCTAGTCTATAGTCTAGTCTATAGTCTAGTCTTCAATCTAGTCTACAGTCCAGTCTATAGTGTAAATTCTGTTATATTATCTTGCTACTTTGAGATATCTTTTTTCGTGCTGTCAATATTGAAAAATGTTTTTTTTTTTAAGTTTTAGGACATGATATCTCGAAAACTTGATGCGAATGAGAAATTCTGAGGACATATTCGGACTTAGCGTATCTCACTCTTTTAGGGGTAGGTTTACTTTGCCTAGGTGCCTTCATAGTGAGTGAAGATCAAAAGACAAAGAAACGAAACCACTGGAAGAAAACAGGAAAGAAAGCAAATATGTAGGAAGAAGAGATGAATGGAAACAGGTTTTTTCTCCCTATATCAGCTATTTCAACCTTAAGATTCTGTACTCTACGACAGTGTCAAATGACAATGGCCCTGATTGAGCAATGCCCCGTTATCATCCCTATCAGAATCCTTAGATTGAGTTTGTGCAGTCCTACAAGTATTTTGGTAGCCCTCACATCAAGCCCTACTATTCTAGGACTGGTTAATGATGTCACGGATTCCTTGATTGGGGCGTCCAATCAACATCTGACCTTCTTGAAATTATCAAATCTGGAAATTTGTTTTGCACAGAATTCATTGCGCATTCCAGTGATATCCATATCATCTATTATAAGTTAAAATTTAGTTGTTAATAATTACTATTGGATTTTCATTTGTCATTGAGAAATATTTCAGCAATAAATATGTGAATTATTTTGGAAATTGTTAGAAGTTTTAACAAGTTTTTTTATAAAACTTTTAAGTAAAATCTTAATTCAAGTTTGGCCCTTTTTGAAAAAAAAAAAACAACAATAAAATTGAAAACGTGCTGTTGTACTGTCAGTTTCCTTAATGTCTGTTACCTTAATTAAGAAAGAAATTAATAATTATTTCTTTATTCAACCATTCATCCATCCATCCATTGCATCCAAGCATCAAAGCATTTAATTGTAATTGAAACTTTTTTTCTTCTACGTCTCGAATAAAACTACGAATAAATACTTTTCGTTTACAAATGAATAAAAAGTGCACAGTTGCTTATTAGAGTTAATCGAACAGAAACAAAAAAAAACTATATAAAAAGGAAATAATAATGAAAATGTTGGATAAAAAAAACATTTAATTCATGAGCACTTTAATCGTCTATTGTTATTAAAACAAAAAAATTAACTATAAAAAAAAACTATAGAAATCGAACAAAAAAGCAACAGCGCACAGCCACAGAATAAACTATTGAATACACGTGTGTTAAAGAAAAAATTTATATAAATTTATTTTCTTACATCTACTGCGAACCAATTTATATTGAAATACTCATGCAACATGAAAAAATTCAAGCAACAAACAATAACAATTGTTAAAAATTGCAACATACTACAGCAACAACTACAATATACAAAACATACAGCTCTACAGTCATGGACATTTTGTCGGTAAATGAATAACTGCATGAATGAATGAATGAATAAATAAATAAAAATGTATGTTAACGTGTTATAAAATCTAATGCCTGGTTACAATACGGCTGCAACAACCTTATTATTTTATAATTTGTTTTTAATTTTAAAGTTACCAGGTTAAGTTAATAATTTCAATTTTAGATTGCCAATGATACAACAAATTGAGGGCCTATATTTGTAACTTTATTATGATTATTTATGTTCCAAACCTGATTTCCACTAGAGTGAGATGATTAAGGATCTTTGAATACTTGAAATATCTAACTTTCAGATTTCCATCTTGGTTTAATCGTCGTAATATCGGAAGATGTCATAGATTGTGTTGATGTTGAGCTATTTAGGTATATAAAAAGAACTTGATTAAACATGGATGCTATTTTGAACCGAAGATACATTCCGAACTTTAACAATTGTCAGGGGTCATATTGTCCATGCTAAATTCGGCTTTGCCTAATCAGCATGGAAACATATAGCGTCAAATAATACCTGCAAAACGATGACAATTCATATGAGATCAAAGAGCTTTTAATGCATTCCGAAAAAGTCACTAAATAGTGTGGATTTTGGGAACCATTAATATTTGCGAACAATATTGGTTAGGCGACTACCAAAAACGCCGGATTAATGTGCTATTGACACCGACGACATTTTGTTTTAACAGGGCGATGTTACGTGCCACACATCTCATGTTGCATTCGACATTTTGCACAAACGATTTAAGGGCATCGTCATCTCACATGAAGATTATGTGAACTGACTTCCTAGCTCTTTTCTTGTGGGGGTTTCTTAAACTGCAAGTCTATGCGAATAAGCCACGAACCACAGCGGTCCTCATAGACAACATAACATATGTCATCTGGTAAAATTGGCCTGATTTATGTCTGATTCATGGGAAATTTGGCATTTCGAATGACCTAGCCGACGGGGCCCCCGGGCATGTTTCCTTGATGATAGACCGCATCTTGGTGTATTGCAATCCGTGGGGAGAGGGGTGCTCCAATACCCCTAGTCTGCCGAGACTATAAACTAATGTTTACAATTCACTGCCAGGCCTAGTCCTTGCATGAATTGAAAAGAGGTCTAACTAGAGCACTACATAATCTGGTACTACGGGTGGCCAGTTGACTACAGGACTTGTCCTGGCTGGTCAGTTATTTGATGTTCCTTCGGGATCCACGTAGTGGCTGTGATTGAAACCTAAATCGCAGGAAGGGGGTGCTAGATTAAAAGATTGATACACAGTGAAATATACATTTTCGGGATACATTTCTGTTAT